TCTAGCCGCGGTTCTAGGTTACAAGAGATATCAGTTAAATTATTCAAACACAAATTAAACGGCATTCATACAATTAAACCATCAAGAAACTAGTCATACATCATGATCAACCCCTTCATCAACCCCAAATCCCTAATTAAACCACTCACAACTCATAATTGAAGAATCAACAGAATTTGGATGAATAAAAATACTTCTCATTAATTAAAAAGTAGGAACTTACAAACAATCACAGGGTCTTGAAAAAAATAGCGGAAAACTACGTAAAAACTCGTCCCTAAGCCTCTCTAAATTCCCCTTGAAAACGGGAGTTTACAGGCTGTTTAAATAGAAAAACGGAGCAATTTTGGCCGAAACAGGACACCGGGAGCGCACACACAACATGCGTCCCCGTGTGCGTCTGGAACATAGCGCGAAAAAGTTTGCCACGCACGTCGTGCGTCCCCCCACGCACGGTCGTGCGTGCCTGGCAGTGTGTCTTTGAAATTTAACATCAGACGCACGGCCGTGCGTTCCCCTACGCCCGGCGTGCGTAAAACTTCCAAATTTGACAACGATTCCTTGACCAAAGTTGTAGCTAATGAAGTCTTCTGTCTAACACAACTTGCAAAACTGGATTTGGATCATCCAATCAAAATATATGAATAAAATGGTGGAAGGTCGCATTCTGAAATTGCAACAGCGATCATCTGACTTATTCGTCTGTTTTCACCTTCCTTCTCTCAGATTATCGCAATAGTGTCTTCATATGAGTTGTATTCGTTGAAGTTGGCTTTCATATGGAATTTGAATCGTGTCCTTGGGATGCTTCTAGAAAAAGATATGCTTGAACGATTGACAAAAGGTCATCCTGATCGCTGTTTTCATGCTCTATCGTCTTCTTTTGATCCCGTAGCCAATCCTAGAGCTCTTTTGCCTTCAAATTTCATCGTGAACCTCCCGGTGACCTCCAAAACTCTGAATCACTCTCGAATACTTCTCATCTCGTCCCGATTGCTTCTCAAGCGCCGGTGCCAGACTCCAAAAACCTGATTTCGCCTCAAAAAATACCAAAACTCGAACCAACGCCCAGTAAACATAACTTGAGCTAAAATTGAGACTTATAACACCTAAAAGCTAGGAAAACCATCAAAAGTCTATCCAAACACACATCAAATGCATGTTGTAATACGAACTTATCACTAGCTCTCCAAGACGTTCGTACAAAAAAGTAGTCAATTTGGGTACTATTAGCTCCACTTTTATAGGTCACAAGGTGATAGTCTCTTTTGTTGAACCAAGTGTTCATCATAGCCAACTCATATGTTGAGGAAAAATCCAGAATGTTCTTCCCCGCTTCATTTCTCGTGCCAAAACCATGTCCGCCATGGATACTCTCAAAACCATCACGACTTGGGCCCACATGCCCGTTGAGGTCGCCTCCCATGACCAGCTTCTCTCCCCTTGGCACTCTAGGTCACAAGGTGAGAGTCTCTTTTGTTGAACCAAGTGTTCATCACAGCCAACTCATATGTTGAGGAAAAATCCAGAATGTTCTTCCCCGCTTCATTCCTCTTGCCAAAACCATGTCCGCCATGGATACTCTCAAAACCATCACGACTTGGGCCCACATGCTCGTTGAGGTCGCCTCCTATGACCAGCTTCTCTCCCCTTGGCACTCGTCGCACCACCTTCTCAAGATCCTCCCAAAATTGTTGAGTGATAGATTCATCCAATCCCACTTGTGGTCCATTGGCACTTACCACTGACACGATCTCATCACCTATAATCAACTTAATGCTCATGATGCGACCGTTCTTCCTAAAAACCTCCGGGATTAATCTCACGTGCATTTTCTCCAACCCACTTAGTTTCTTGCATGCACATTATGCTGACATTCCTCCTTTTCATAACCTCAGCTATCTCAGATGATCTTCCCGTAAGATTGCCAACATTCCAAGTCCTAAAATGCAATCTAGCACCCTGCCTTATCTTCTTCACACCACATCTACTCCCACCATGCCCTTGCATATTTGACACCATCCCCGAGCATTGGAGTGGCGCGTCGCTTCTAGGCGACTACCTAGCAGCCTTAACATTCTTATCACCACACTCAGTCCTATGAAATGTAGCGTGCCCTTGCATATTTGACACCACTCCCAAGCGGAGTGATGACGCGTCGCTTACGGGTGACGACCTAGCTATAGCGATATTCATATTTCGATTCATGTCATGTCATGTGACTAGGTGATACTGTTGGCCGTCACACGCCTACCACAACACCCTCCTTTTTCCTGGTTTGGGACAAGCATGCTACCAAAAAATGATCTCATGACGGAGTTAACTAATGTGTACACCAATGACACAAATTATATAAAATCTCCATATTTTTTTACCTAGAGCTACTATGCAAAAATGCCAATTGAACACAAAAAATGTATACACCTCCTACAATCTTTAAATCCCCCTCTATTTCCACCATTACCTTTTTACATCTTATCCCTCCATCGCCTTCCTTCCTTCCCTCCCTCCCTCCCAATAAACTCACTCTTCTTCTTCTTTCTCTTTTGTTTCATCTTCATCTTGATCATCTATCCTCTTCTCCTCCTCCTCCTCCTTTTTCTTTTGTTTCATCTTCATCTTTATCATCTATCCTCTTCATCATGTTGTTCATCTTTCACCACTAACACCATCCCATAATTTTCTATCTTCAGTATCTACATCATCTTTCACATCCATCACCTAATCATTTTCATCATCTTCCATATCTATCAGCTCATCATTTTTACCATTATTAGCTTCTAGCTAGGATTAAAAACAAGTTTGAGAATTGCCAGAAAGTCACTAGAAAATTAGAGTGAATATTCGCTTTAACACGGACAAACATTTAAAAGTTGTATGTATACAAACAACTAAATGTATGTGCACATATATTGATTTTTGTGCAACCAAGCTGTAACATTTATGCAACACAACACACAAACTAATGCCTGTTTACATACATCTAGTTGTTTGTATGCTAACAATTTGTATATTTTTCATCTGTGCTTAACAATTTTGTATGTGCACATACACATTGAAAAAAGCAGTGTCTGTATACACATATAAAAATTCTGGTGAATGTTCAACTATAATTTTTCGACGACTTTAATTCCGGCTACTCAAACTTTTTTTTATCCCAACTGACCCTAAAAGATGATAATGGTAAAGATGATGAGGTGATGGATGTAGAAGATGGCTAAGATGGGAGATTATGAATATGGGGTGAGGTGGATGGAAGTGGAAGATGATGAAGATGGTGAAGATGGAAAATGAAGAAGATGGAGAGATGTTGCTGATGACTGTGAAAGTGATGAAAATGGAAAAAAAAAAAAAAGAAGAAGAAGGGAGAGAGGGAGGGGTAAACAAGTTGGGGACTTTATATAGAGCGTGCAAAAGTTGTGCACGTTTTGTGTACACTTATGATTATTGTTTAACCAATAACTAAGCTAGACAAGTACTTTCATATTCCCTCTCTTCCCTTTTCATTGCAATGTTCTCATTTTCAAGTTTATCAAGACACAACCTTAAACATTGATATAGTTCATTCCTGATTAGTAAAAGTATTAAAAAATACATTCTTGAAAATTTAGAATGAACCAAATTTAGTAAGATTTTCAAATAAAATTTCAAATACATTAATAAATAAAATGTTGTCAAAGTACAACATGTGATAGTTGAAAGGAGGAGACATTTCTCTTTTCTATGTGGGACAAAGGGCAAAGAGAAATAAAATTTTGAACGACAAAAAATTAAAAAAGCCTCGAACAAGATACCAGTGCTTAAGGATAGTTAGATGAAACCATTTGAACTATAGCAACATTGAATTGTTTATTTGTTAAAAAAATTGTTATTTATTAGAAACGGGTTGGGCAAAGATGGGACTAACTCAAAAAGTATTGAGAAAGGATTTGGACACGGGTCAATGGGGGTGTCTGAAAATGACGTTTCACTAAAAAAATGGTTGTTTGATCATCGCTTTCAATAAGTGAAAACGTTATTTAGTAAATTGGTGTTCGGTCATAACGTTTTTGGATGAATCCATTGAAAGGAAACGCTGCAAATGAGAGAATTTGGGTTAGCGTTTTGAAATATGACGCTTTTTTTTACTAATTCTTATAAAAAATATTCCCTCCGTCCCAATAAATTCTTCCAACTTTGAGTTGGCTCGCATATACAGGAAGTGGAATAAAGTGAAAATGTATGGTTGTGGTTGTGTAAGAAAAAGTGAAATGAATGTGAGCCACACAAATTATCCAAAAGGGGAAGTTGGAAGAATTTTTCGGGACGATCCAAAAAGGAAAGTTGGAAGAATTTTAAGGGACGAAGGGAGTAACAATTTTTTTTTTTTGTGATAAATAAGAGAAGGAAAATGGACAAAATCAATAACATGAAAAGAGTATTTTCAGATATACTTCATCCGAAAGGAATTCCATAATGATTTTGGTTGACGAGAATGAGAGAATCTCAATAGGCATTACTTTTAGAGTGATTTGGAAAAGTGGTTAATAGTAAAAGTTGACAGTGTTTGAGAAAAAAATGATTTTGAAATGTAAAAGTTGATAATGTTTGGTAAAATAAGTGTTTTTTTGTGTAATAGAAAAGAGAAAAACATTTTTTACACGAAAGCCGAGAAAAGTAAAAATGAGTAATATTTAATAAAGGGAAAGTTCCCGAAATGGGACTAAAAAAGTTTGAAAATTCCAAAATAGGACTGTCATGTTTTTATTCCCAAAATAGGACTAATTACTGCCAAATTTGGAAAATACTGCCATGTTTGAAGTCTGGTACTGCCAAAACATGACAGTAATTAGTTCTATTTTGGGAATAAAAACATGGAAGTCCTATTTTGGAATTTTCAAACTCTTTTAGTCCCATTTTGGGTAATATCTCTTTAATAAATAAATACTAGTACTTTTTAAGCCTAAAATCTGTTTTTTAAGCATTCGGGACTTTCGAATTCCGAAAACGGGTATATAATCCGAATCCATGACAGATTTTGTCAAAAACGGGCAATACCCGATAATAGGTGTCGTTGATTTTACGCCATTCTTGACCTCAAACGACAATTCCACAACACGTTCGTGGGCCATTCGTTACATCAAAACCCCTAATCCTTGCAACTTTGCTCCATTATTTCTTCCATTTCTCTATAGGTTTGATCTCAAACCTATCGCCGGCGACCACCGTCTTCTCCCTGGATTCAACCCATCCGCCATATTCCGCCGTCAGGTACCCACCTACCCTGCATATGTTTTTATTGCTCGTGTTTACATCTACATCTGCTTGAATCTGGACAGCGCAGTGTACATATTTCCCTTTTCTTGTAACTATTGTTTGATGTGTGGAGTAGATCTCGAAGTTTGTTGGGCTACTTTTGTCAGGGTTTAGATTTGGAACCTTGTTGACTGTTTAGCTTGTTGTGCATCTTCTTACTCCTTATTTTTCTGTTCTGTTTTGTACTTTGAGTGAGAGTCTGAGGATCTCCTAATACTGGCTAGGCATACCATCTTTGTTTAGGTTATACGTTATTATCTGAAAAGAGCTTAGAAGATCTTTACTGGCTTAAGTTATGGCGTCAAAACGCATCCTGAAGGAGCTCAAGGATTTACAGAAGGACCCACCAACATCATGCAGCGCTGGTATGGCTTGAAATTTTGAATCACATATATTTATTCTTTTGATTCCTGGTTTAGTTGCAAGTGTTTGTAGCTTGTGCTTTTAGTTTTACTCTTTGTAGCCTTGTGCTATTTGATTGTGCATTATGTAGCATGTACTAATTGTTTGGTAATTTTTGTTGCAGGTCCTGTTGCAGAAGATATGTTCCATTGGCAAGCAACAATTATGGGGCCAACTGACAGTCCCTATGCTGGAGGTGTTTTCCTGGTTTCGATTCACTTCCCTCCTGATTACCCTTTTAAACCTCCTAAGGTATATGATCACGTTCTAGGTTTTGTTTGACTTTTCTTTGACTATTGTAGTATTGTATAGTTTTCATTGGATGTGAGGTGTTGAATCATTATTGGTGGATGCATATGCTTTCACTTACGCAATGTTTGCAATTCAGAAAATGATCTTGTACCCTTGGAGAAACCATTCTCATCTTACAATATTTAGATTTCTTATCCTTTATGTAATAGGCATGGAGTATGAAGAAATTTATATACTCCCAAACATTTTCTGATTTTTTTCATATTGTTTACATCCATATTTAGTGTTTTCTTGCCCTAGCTTTATCGAGTCACAAACAGACCCTTGATGATGTGGCAATATGATATCTGGATACATTCACACCTTGATCTGTACACTAATAACTCAAAATAGTAAAATGTTGATTTTTTATGAGATTTTGAATTTTTGATAAGTAATGGAGGAATCCCAGTAGATAAAAGCAGTGTATTAATGAAGATTAAAGGTTGGAATACAGAAAATTACGTTATTTGAGACTCTTCGAGTGGTCTCTCACTCCCAGTTCCGATCCCAGTTCCCAAGTTTCTGCCTCCGTTATTCTTTCCCCTACCCCTCTTTTATAATAAAACTCACTAAAAGGGCCAGCCCTCGCTTAAGCTATTTGGCCTAGAACCCTATTATTGGAAAACATTAAAATACATAATAAGACTCTAATTATTTGTAGTACCCGGGTCCCGGTCCCTATCAGATTTTGGTTGCACAGGAAACTTTGTGTTGGTGCGTTTACATAATTCAAACATTTTTTACTTTTCAGGTTGCTTTCCGGACTAAGGTCTTCCACCCTAACATCAATAGCAATGGAAGTATCTGCCTTGATATTCTTAAAGAGCAGTGGAGTCCAGCCTTGACCATATCCAAGGTTTCCGCTTCTTTTTAGTTTTTACATTTAATTTGTTTACTCTTCTTTTGCTCTATGCATTTAAGAAAATGCATCATATTCTTGAAAATGAATGTACATTTGGAATATAAGATTGATGCCTTCAAAATTTTAAAGTCAGTGATGAGTGTAAAAATGTGTTTAGCAGTTGAAAATACTTTTTTCGGAGCAAATATCTTGTTTGTGAAATTCTTTTTAGTAGAAAACTCGATTTATCTTTCGTGGTAGTTGAAAAATAAGGGTCTTTTTGGACCAGGTAATGGTAGAGAAAGTGAACAGGGAGCAAAATATTGCTCAAGTTTTGGAAGGGAAGACAATTAAAGTGATAGTTCAAACTACAAACATGAAACATCTCTTTTATATTTTTGTTCACTCATTTTAATATATTTCCAGTGCATAAAGAATAACAACTCATTTGTGTACTATATATTTTTTAGACTATAATGTATGTACAGTAAATGTATGTAATATTTTTGAAAAGATATTATCAATTTTTATTTTCTTGTGTCTTACTAGATACAACCATACATTTAAAAAAGAACTACTCGTATTTGACTTGCAACTTTTTTCTATTTCTTTCATTTTCCACATTCCTAGGCCCCAACATAACCTGGAGAGTTTTGGTGATTATTACTAGTATTTAGTATCTAGTATGCCTCATGTGGGGGCTAAAGGGAATAAATAAGGGAAAAGGGGCAAATAAGCCCTCGAACTAATAAAAAAAGTGTAAATAAGCCCTTTTATAGGAGGTTCCGTCTGGCCATCGTAATTTGGGGAGGTTCCCGGTGGAATTTCTTGATGAAAATTCTTGAGCATCTTATTCATTAAGTCTAGTTTAGTCATACTGAATTTCAGCTAAAAATTCAATCGGGAAGACAGTCAAATGAATTTTTGAAGATAACTGCGCAGTTAAACAACACAGTATATTTTCGAAAATCATTTGAGTGTCTTCCCGGTTTAATTTTTAGCTGAAATTTGGTATGGCTAAACTAGACTTGATGAAGAAGATGCTCAAAAAAATTCATCAAAAAATTCCACCGAGAACCTCTCCAAATGACGATGATCAGTCAGAACCTCCTATAAAAGGGCTTATTTGCACTTTTTTTATTAGTTCGAGGGCTTATTTGCCCCTTTTCCCAATAAATAATGATTTCATCAATTGTTTGGTATTATGTCCACATTGCCTGAATGCCTGCTAATAGATATCTATTTTATATCCTGATGAATCTATTTTTTCACATTTATTATTACTTCAGGTCCTCTTGTCCATCTGTTCCCTGTTGACTGATCCAAACCCGGATGATCCGCTTGTGCCAGAAATTGCTCACATGTACAAGACTGACCGGGCCAAATACGAGACCACGGCTCGGAGCTGGACTCAGAAGTATGCTATGGGGTGATGATGAATGACAAAAATGTTTGCTCCCCAAATTCCTGTAACTTAAGTGTGCGCTTTTTGTGGCCTATCTTTGCCGTCTTCGTTGGCTTTTGATATAATTATAATAAGTTGTACCTTTGAATCTTTGATTTCAGGCGGCAGTCATAATGGCTCTTTTTAATTTGTGAATACTAATTTAGACATATTTATGCTACTATGGAAAACTACTACGGAGTACAATGTATTGTACTATGGTTTGTAATCTTGGGTTTATTAATGATTTAATTCCATGTTTTGACAATTGAGCATGACTCATCTTTTCATTTTAATTTGTGGAAATATCCCGTAGAGTCTACTTTATTTTATTGTATTTCATTTATGTCTCCTAAGTCCTAATTATTTACTTTTCATTTATAAACTTTCCCCTTTTCACTCTCAACTTATTTATTTCAAAAACCATCTCAAGCCCAATTCAAAATTCAAAGTTGCGAGAGTAATCCATGTCGATTGTTGGCTCTGCCCTTCCTCCATCTTCACAACTTCAGTGTCCGACCTTCGCGCCTCTGCCCTTCTCACCTCCGTCCTTCACGCCTCCAGCCTCCGGCCTTTGCTGCACAGTGCATTTGACGCTTTGACGTCCATCCTAAGTGCTTCCGGGTTTCGCGGTTTCGTGCCTCTAGCATCTGCACTTCCGCATCTCTGGCCTCCGGCCTTGTTGCTTGGCTTTTCCACTGCTCTCTAGGTCGTTGTTTTGACTGTCTCGCTAATTTAGAGGTTTGTGTCTGAGATTTTCAGGCTTTCAGCATTGTACTTTCACTTTGATTTTGGTTATTATTCACACGATTATCCTTTATTTTTGGTTTCTTATTTAGCCTTGGTTTACTTTCTGCTTAATTATTGTTACAATTTACTTTCAATTTTTAGTTGAGACTTTCCAACTCATACTGCTATTTACTTTTTGGCTCTTGTGTTTTCTGTATAGTGAGGTGATTGGTGTTTTAGTATGCATATATACATTTGTGTAGAAGGCATACTGAATTGAAATTAGACTTATTGATGTGTTACCAGGATGAATTACATTGTGCGTTCACCTAAAGATACATTTTCACAGTAGTGTGGCCTTGGAAGAGGAATGGACACTAGTTTATTGTAGGAGTTTATGGATTACATTGTATGGACACCATAGCTGGCAGTGATTTTATGGATAGTGTTTGTTATTCTGCAAACTCATGGTTGCCTGCCAGATCAATTGTTTTGGAGTGTCTTGCTTCAAGAAAGGATGTCGATCCTAGTGGAGAAATTATGGTTTTAAATATATTTTTCCCATGGGAGCTTCACTTGTTTGAGCTTGATCGAGGAGGAGTTGAGGATTAATACACCAACCAATATGTTCTTTATGAGGATGTTAGAAGTGAAGGCTGGAGAGTACATGTAGTGGCTGTGTCTCCAGACAGATTTGAGAGCCGCAAGCCATTACCGTCATAGTGGAGAGTTCTTAGAGATGCTAAGGGCCTGTTTACTAACAGAAATATTTTCCAGTTTTCCAGAAAACTGGAAAACAGAAAACAGGAAACGTGTTTACTAGGCCTGGACTCGGGCCGGGCGGCCCGACCCGGAACCGGCCCGGCCACTGTAGCAACCGGCCTGGCCCGGTGGCCCGGTCCACCGGCGGTTCGGGTCGAACCGGCCCGGTGGTTCCCGGTTCCGGGCCCGGGCCTTCCAAATGGTGAACCGGCCCGGCCGGTTCGGGCCCGGTCCGGGCCGGATTTTATTTTATTTTTTTTTTTTTTGAAATTTTTTTAAAGTTTTGGGTTGGAATAGGTATTTTGGGCCATTTGAGGTGGTTTGGGGTGGTTTGGGGTTGAGGGGGAGGGGTAGGGGATTAAATAGGAGAACAAAAAAAAAAAAATTAAGTGGGCCGGTTCGGCCCGGCCCGGCCCGGCCCGGTTTGGCCCGGAACCGGGCGGTTCGGGCCCGGGCCTCCCATTTCCTGGCCCGAGGCCCGGCCGGGCCCAGGACCGAACCGGCCCGAGTCCAGGCCTGGTGTTTACCAAAGAAATTCATGGAAAACTGGAGAAAGGAAAAAAGAAAAACGTGTTTACCAAATCGTTTTCCAAAACGGAAAAAATGAGACATGTCTCTCTTTTCCTTAATGATTTGGAGAAGTGACTTTTACTAGTTTTCCAAATTTGGAAAACGCAGATGCTACAGTGCCGCTGCAATGAATTTGCATACTTACACCTAGTGGTGGGTCCGGTCCTGCTCCGATGTCGATTCCTAGGGGTGGAAATAGGCCAGCCGGCCTGTCAGGGGCCTGTGGCCTGGCCTGTTAAAGGCCTGGCCTGGCCTGGCCTCTTTAGTAATCAAGCTAGGCTTGAGCTTTTCTAAAAGCCCGTTTATTTAAATAGGCCAGGCCTAGCCCAACTCTAAAGCCTTTTTACCTTAACAGGCCGGCCTATTTATGTGTGTGTGTATGTATTTAGTTATATTTATATTTATTTGTATTATTTATATTTATATTGGTATACTCAACTATATCCAAATCAGTATAATAGTATTTTTAGGGAGTGTGTATTATAAATTAGAATAGACTGCTTTTTTAAACATATATAAAGTGTGTTAATAGTTTATTAAGGTAATTGAAATTCAAAGTTTTTTAAGAATCAAAGTACATAGAAATTTATAAACTACATAATAATACTCCATAATAATGTATTATTAGACATCCAAAGCAAAACTAACGTATTATTAGACTTTTTAGTGAATATTTGGGGTAATAAATTTTATACCGGATTAAAAGGATTTTTCACTTTTCATTTTGTATTTTTTTTGAAATTTTATTTTTTTCCTTAACAGGCCCGGTAAACAGGCTTCAGGCCAGGCTTTTAAACAGGCCAGGCCCAGGCCGAAAAAACAGGCCTTTAACAGGTAACAGGCCAGGCTCAGGCCTATATTTTCTAAAACAGGCCTGGCCTGTTTAGGCGAAAGCCTGGCCTGGCCTGGCCTGTTTCCACCCCTATCGATTCCATTCCGGTACCTCCATCCTTGTACCTTACCCTTACTCCTACAATACCCTACCCTACCTTACCCACCCAACCCCACCACGCATACCCATTTTTCCCTATAATGACCCCACCCCACCCCGATCCACCCTACCCTACCGCCACCCCCCTACCACCTCGACCCACCCTACCCTACCCCCACCCTCGTACCGCCATCCTACCCCCACCCTTCCGCCATCCTACCACCATCCTACCCCCCCCCCACCCTACCCTTCCCCTACCTCGGCCCCACCCAGATCCTGGGCCCACTATATCGCCATCCTATCCCACTACCCCTACCTTACCCCAACCCCAACCCTACCCACTACCCCCACCCTTACCGTCATCCTACCCCCACCCCTACCCCTTCCCTTAGCCCCACCCTGGTCCCGGCCCCACCCTACCGCCATCCTATCCCAACTCCATACCTTACCTCTATCTTACCCCAAACCCTACCCACTACCCCACCCTTACCCCTAACCACGACCCTAACCCACCAACTACCCGGCCCCCACCCAACCCCCTACCCTAGACCTTACCACCCCACCCCGACCATACCCCTTACCCCACCCTCACCCATAACTTCCTTACCCCGACCCCTACGAGTAGGTATGGTGGGTATGAAGGGTTGTGGGTTGTGGGGGAGTATGGGTAGAGTGTAAGATCGTGGTAAGGATATGGGTCAAGGGTGTGGAATTGGAGAAATGAGTGAAAAAATTGATGAACATGTTTTCAAATTTGAAAATGGAAAACTAAAAAATAGAAACAGAAAATTGGAGATAGAAAAACTGAAAAATAAAAACAGAAAATTGGAGAACGAAAAACAGAAGTAGAAAACAGGAAAATATCTCTGTTAGTAAACAGGCCCTAAGCTTTCAAAGGAGGCACGAGTTCGTGGTTGTGTTTTTGTTCACATTGGTGGAAACCAAACTTACGAAGGAGCATTATCTATGGCAAAAGCTGCTCTAAAGCTCTAAATTACCAAAAAACACCCAAATGTTACTGAAAACATTTGATAGTTGTGGCAATTGATTGCTATCTATCTTGTTTTGATCCTCTTCGCTGCTATGTTTTTCCAACTTTTAGGCGTCATTTATGCTTTTAGGTTCATTTTGCTAGAACATCAACATTGAAAATAATATGACTAGTTATTTCTACAAAAATGGAAAAGAGGTTGAGAAAACTCTTGAAGAACTGGTTTGTGAATGAGTTGAAATTTGTGTTCTAGCTAGAAAGATGTGCTCTATTTTTGAATTAGGTGTGTGGATGAATTGAAATCTTTAGTCAACTAATGATGAATATTTGGAATATGGATTGCATCTAATCGCCCTCTACAATTTGCCTTTTTTTAAGAATTTCGCTTTTTCTGAATTGCATAATGATTCCTGTGAACTTGCAATTTTGTGACTTTATAGTGGATCATTTGGTGTGATACTTTTATATATTGGTTTTTGTTGCTTTTTGTTGCACTTTGTTGCTTATTATTGTTTCATTGTTGAAATAGATTGTTTATGTTTATTTAGGTTTCCATTTATCTTTTCTACTTCTTTAAAAAAAGTTCTATATAATTTTATATAGAAACACAAAAATGATAAATTTTGATTTATGAATATAAACGACTAGAAACATAAAAAAACAATAAGAAACAAAATTTTTAGAGTTATAAACAAAAAGAAACAATTTGAAACAAAAACTAACAATAAAATTATAATCACAATTAAAAGATTAAGTTCTTTAAGAAACATAACATTACAAAATTCATTTATTTTTAATTTTTTTAATTATGTTTCGAGTTCATTATTTTAGCTTTTTGCATTTTTATTTACTGAGTTTTTGAATATTACACTCTTTAGTTTACATTAAATATCTAGTTTTTTTTATAATGTTTTGAATATTTTAATTTTTAAAATATTTATAACATTAATTTGGTTTACTTGAATGTTTGAATTTTTTTATATATTTATATTAGTTTTAATCTTCCAGTGTACATATTTTTCAAGTTCTTTTTTTTTAGATAACCACTCCTTCACAAAAGTTTGTATTTACTTTTGAAATTGTTTACTAGCTTCAAAACATTTTTATCTTATTTACACATTGTATTTGTAGATTTAACATTCTTCTTTTTTGTAACTATTGTATTTTTTGGTGTAAAAAAAACTGTTGTATTTTATTCTAATTTATTTTATAAGCATATTTTATGTTTTTTTAATTTATTTTATATATATCAAATTCATCTAATTTTAATATTTAACTTACAATTTTTCAATTTTCATCTTTTATTATTATTTTTTAAATTTCATATTTTTACTTAGAGTTTTTAAAATTAATTACTATTTCT